ATTTAAGGGCTTGAGACGAAAATACATTTGGCATCATATCATTTTTGCATAATATGACAGCTGGACTGAAACTGCGGAGCTTGTGGGATATTTCAAACTTTTAGACGCTTGTTAATTATGAACTGAATCGTCCTCGTTGACGACTTACCTAAACATTTTTTCTCGCACTGCTTTTTGGTCTCAAAGTTATTGCCATTGCCTTGGCAGCCGCCGTAGATGAATGGCACGCAGGTATTGTTTTTACGATTGTAGGCGAACCTTTGGTAAAAGCCTTTACACGGCCCCGGATCGGGTTTCAAATGGCAATCATTTGTCAATCCTAAGTATGCAAGCACATGTTAATGTACTTAAGGAGTAGAGACGACGATGCATTTGCATCCTTCTGTTTTCGGATAAAATAAAATTAGGACTGTAACAATAGAGCGCGTAGGATGCTTCAAGTGAAAACACGTGTCTGGGATATGCGGGGCACTTACATGAAATTTATATGCCTGGAATGAGGAACAAAATTTTTGAATGTATGTTTAAATGGAGCGTATTTTACTCACACTTACCTTCTACCACAGCGAGTAGGCAGGCGGTGAAGATAAGAGCAATCATGTTTTGGCCTTGGTCTCTAGTGTTCAACTCTCTATATATATGTATAATCGGGACACGGTAGTGCCAACGTGTGATTAAACTTCGATATTCCATTCGGCGTTGTTACGTGAGCGCGCATAAAATAACCGTAATTATGACATAATTACGCAAGTGAATCTCACTAAAAGGCGGTCAGGTTTTTATTTCTGGATATGGGCGAATTTTATATCGACTTTTTTTATAGAACTATGATTTAGTGGTTACTGGTTAGGACACGAGGATATAGAACTTTTTGACAATAAGTCCATGACTACACGCATAACGTGAGGGAGTGGGGGAGGGGGAGGTGCAAACTTTTTCGCGTATTCTGCAAGGGCTGTGGAGGCGGAATTACTGAGCCACCAATCAAAAGTTTATACTCTTTCTGCACTGGAATCCGCACGAAGAAATGCTTGTATTCTCACTGCCTTTGTGTGGGGTTGGGTGTGGCTGAATGCTCCCGCACATGAGAGGTATTTTTATCTGTTGCACACATACATTTATGGGTCTTTTGTCGACACCGAACCGCCGATTGTGCAAAGGGCCGTAGGCCGCCTTGGTGGATACGTCTACTTAAATTGGGGTGAGCAGTAATTACGGCAACCAACAGTATCAATTGGGTTCATACGCTTGTCAGGCAACCGTTAAGGAGTAACCTTGCTTATTTTCTGATAAACGTAGCAAATACAATCCGCTTCAACGGTTCCACGCGAGAAAAATAACCGGGTATACGAAAAAATGTCCGGGAAGGTTAACTATATCCGTATCCTTGGCTTAATGTAGCCCTAACGTAAACTTACACAACAGTCTTAACCGCACGCCAGGTCCCACTTTTAGGAATAAGGACCACAAGAGACTCCCTAGACTCTTAGATTACTATAACTTCTGAATAGTTAAGTATAAAGGAAAACGGCTTCTATTATTTGTTACTGTACAGAATGCTACGTGTGTGTGTGAGTTCGACCACAATAATCGGTGAAGTCCACCATTTGCCCGAGAGCAGGGACAGTGATAGGGGCCAATTATAGTGATAGTAGACGCGCCGCTGAACTAATTCACTCTAAACCCTTTCCACTGCGTTTAAATGAGAACAAGACGAGTCGAGATTCCGTGCAGGGAGGGAGCGTGACCGCAGCCGTTAATACCGCCTAAGCTTAGTATATAGTGACAGTAGACTCTGCACCGGTACTACTGCACTGTCTACCCCGACTCACCCATATTAGGTGCCTAGCGTGATTCTAAGGAAGCAGAGCTCGTTCTGCTAAACAGCCACTAGAAATAGCTACTAGAATAGGGCGCAGCTGAGTGATGTGTTCGCTGGTACTATTTCATTCTGTATTGTAAATCAGAAGTGGCGCTGGTTAAAATCAGCACAGAGTTCATA